TTTTCCCTCCAACGAGGGCATGAGTGAAGGCATTACAAGGGGACAGCTACTCCACGTCCCCATCTCCAGAAGCCCTCTGACTCATAAGAAAGACAAACTGGGGTGGCACCCACATTCCTCCTGCTACTCTAGATGTCTTTTAGAAAAAAAAAAAAAAAGAAAAAAAAAAGAGAGAAAAAAGAATCCAGCTAACTCAAACCCACATGCTAACAAGCACGACTTCAGACAGCTGTGCAGCCTTGAGTGAATTGGGACAAAATACAGATACAACATTGGCACCAAAGAGCAACCAACTCTGCAGACAGTACAGATGCTAGATGCTTTTCACTGACATTACTGGTGTATATGAATGAATAAAATAAAATCCACATATACTAGCAACAGATTTCCTAACCTGATGATTTTCAGCTTTGGTTCTCAGGATTCCTTGTCAAACCCCCAAGGGTCCATGGGTGACCACGGAGAACTTGCTGACAAGTGGTTTAGAGTCTCAATACAATGATCTGCACCTTTACTAGGAAAGTGAGAAGTCAGCAAATAAAAAATGAAGCTCAGTTTTTTCATCCTCGTAGTCACTATAGCACAATTTTAGCACATACTAATGATTACCGTAACATTGATAAGCTCATTAATAAAACTGCACAATGATGTAGTTTAAGTATCATAAAATAATATTTAGATACATTTTAACTCAGCTGCTCTACCACATAGATACGTAAACAGCCCTTAATTATCCTGTGTGTCAAGTGATAAGTTTCTACTTACAACTAACAATATTTATTTTAAAACTTGCTCACATGGCCAGATAGGGTTGAAAAGCTTTTTCAGAGCAAGCTGACTTGCGTCAACCACTCCAGGACAGTTCCCCACATGCTCCCAAGGGCACGCCCTGATCGCACAGATTATTATTTTGGAGTAAAGAGCACCCACAAATGGAACAAAGTGCAGCCACAGAAAATCAGGAGGAGAGTCTACGGTCTACTGTTTTCATGGTGCAAATGAGAGATACTGTTTGTCCTTCTCTCTCTCACTGGACAATTACTAGACCATGATGCCCTTCACCTTTCTTAAAACAGCACTAGTGATTTGTATAGCTGCAATGCTCCCTGCGTAGGATGTGCAATCACCTGGGGCCTTTGCACTGGAGCACAGGATCCTCCTTTTCAAGCCGCCTGACTTGCCTTGCTCTTGCAAGAGGAGGTGACCAGACCAAGACCCTGCCCCAAGACCACTCTTCCATTCAAGAGCACTGAAGCAGTACAGTACCCTGTGTGTACGCTTCCCCCTAAATACACTAAAGGAGCTCCTCTGAAAGTGGGAACAGAGCCGAGTTCTGCTCTCTCCTCCACACTGGCACTGCACCACCAGATACAACTGAGGACAAATAAAAGTTTTGGACCAGGCCAGCTCGCTCCTCCTGGCACAGGGAACACTGAGGATGCCATGGCACAGCTGCAGGGGAGCGTGAAGCTGGGGTGCAATTCTGCTTGGCTTGCAGTCAGTGCCTCCCCTGGCCCCAAAAAACCTACTTTCCAAGGCCAGAGAAAAGATGGCAAGGAAAAACTCTCCCTGTAGGGGAAAAAGGTTTTCCTTTGTTGCTCATCCTCTGCAAGGAAAACTTTTTCACGTCTTCATATATTTCAAAGCTAGAAATGGATATTATAATCATATGGCCGAGCTCCTTCATAACCGTTATGTTATAAATATACTCCCCTTCCTTTCACTTCATCACTCAATTAAAAGCCCACATTTTAGGCAAACAGTTCCAGTGGAAGGAGGCTGTTTTCAGACTAATCCCCAAGCACCGGGTATTTCCAGCAGAGCTCCAAAATACCATACCACCACCCACTTTGAAATGGCCTCCGGCTCTGAAGGTTTAGGTAATTCAATTAGACAAATGCCCCTTTTCAACGAAGTAGAGAAGCCTGTTGCCTTTCTGTATCCCCTTGCCCATGGCAATCGCTTACCACCTCTTTTCAAAAGCGCTATTAGAGCTAATTATGAACAATCAGAGAACTCAATGGCTGCAGCTTTTCAGTGACATTAGTGAACCACCCTTCCGAAACTGCAGTACCACTGATTAAAACAAAAAGCACCAACGCTGGACCACTGCAGTCCAGGAGTGCATGATTATTCCCAGAATCAAAGTGGTTCTGAACACGCTACAGGAATGAGCGGAGCCAGGCAACCTCTCCTCCTGCTCCCAAGCTGTCTCTTTATCAGCAAAGAGCAGTAAGTTGACTCTTGCAGAGCCTCCAGATCCAGAAACTGCAAGTACTTTGACAATAGATAGTACAAAGATAACTAAAATAAGGCAGCAAGAAATTAGTAAGGCACATCTATAGGCACAGTGAACTGGTATGACTTGCATAGGTGACTGGTATCACCTAGCAGAGCACCACCGTCACCGTCTGCTTAGGGCAGCTAAATCCTTTAGCACGCTCCAAGAGAGCCAAGAGGGAAGAGCACATACTAAAAAGGTAATGGAAAAGAGCATAAATCTGTCATGCTATTTGACTAACTTTTTAGAAGCATACTAAAACACAGGCAATTTAAAAAAAAAAATTGGTCTATAACATTTCTCTCCGTCCTTACCTGCTCATAACCCTCATAACCCCTAATTTATCTCTTACGCTGCCTGCATGTAGGTACTGCTGCAAAATTGAAGTAGTCAGAAAAGCACCTGAGGACCTGAGCGGTGGGTGGAAATCACAGAGGCTGCTTGCACACCAGGCTCTGGCAGAGGTGCTGCAAGCAGCCAGCGAAAAGAAACTCTACTGAGAGTGAGCACATTGCTCCAAAATACCAGTGCCACTGATTCGAGTCACCAGAGATTCCCTTACACTTAACCCACCGTTCTTTACAGCCTACGCATTAACTGATGGACTTGATGATCTTAAAGGTCTTTTCCAACCTAAATGATTCTATGATCGTGCATTTGGTAATGCATAATAGCGGGCGCTGTGGTGTTTATGGCCTGTTTGGAAGCCAGAGTTTCTCCCTCTCCTTTTTTCTTCTGGTTGCTCTTAAAATTCCTTCTGCTCTTGCTTTTGATGTGAATTCTTACAGGGTAAAGGTCAAAATTAAAAAAAGAGAAATAAACATTAGGTCACAAAGTCTTGAAATATTATTGCAATTTATATATGGTTGAGAATAAAAATGTGTCTGCCTTCTCTGGGAACACACCTACGTGCGAACAGAGACCTTTACAAAAAATTCTCCTTTATTACCTGGGGGGGGGGGAAAATCAAAGATTGATTTTCTTTTTATGGCTATTATTAACCTTTTGTTACTGGCCAAAAATAATCTGGTTAGAAAATGTGCAATACATCAAAAAGAAAAAAAAGAAAAGAAGAATTTAACAGAAAATTAATGTTCAGCGAAAAAATAAGATGACTCTCCCTTCACCCTTTTCTTCTAAGAGTCAGACTTCAGCTCCAAAGAAATGAGACAAGTGCCACAGAGAAGCGACTTTTCAGACTGCTGCAGCGGTACAGCATCCCTGACAGAACCATTGCCAGGGCTGCCAGGGCCAAGAGGACAGGCAGGCGTCTGATCCGACTCCTCCCTGATTTCAGTGCCAAGCTGCTCCCGTATGTATCCAACACGTCACTCACCAGCTCTGACTGAAAGGTGATGGTCTAGTCTGACAGTGGGGCACGCAAAGCCCCCTATCTGTAGTAGCTCCACTGCTCCTCTTCTACGGAAGGAAAAACTCCTATAAAATCCATTACAACTGAAATCCCCGGGGTCTAAGCATGAAGATACACGTCTCACCAGCTACCGCAGAGCCGTGCTTCCTAATACCCATCCCATCAGCAATTCTGCCCAGGCAAGGGCAAGAAATACTTTTTTACAACTCTTTAATGTCTGTGTAAATACCAACACAGCTATTTGTAGCCTGTGAACACTACAGGTCTGCTGAGAAGCCTGCAGATTGCAATTGTGCTTGAGGTCCACCTCCTACCAATTTCTGAAGCATCTATCGCAAGGCTGCTTAAGATCTCACTGGTCAGAGCTAGCAAATTTGTCAGCAAATTTGTATCTATGTCCAAGCAGGGCAGGAGAACAAAGCCAATGGGTCACACTAGTAAAGAGCAGTCAATCATAATTTGACAGAAATACGTTGGACGATTATTTCCGAACACGACTGCATTTACACGGGTCAACCTTTAATTACAACAAGCTGACAAAACTAGGAGCATTGAGTCACGAGCATAGGCAGACCCAAGCTGGGCTGGAACGAACCACTTGCAAAGCGATTGCAGAACCAGCACAGTTCACGGCCTGGTCTATTAAGATACCCTAAAACTGCTGCTAGTTAAGCTCAGACATGTGCACTGCAAACTGCAGTGGCTAAAAAGCTGCTTTACATTCAGTTAAGTCAAACTGTGCTAGAAACGGTGACCCCAAGGGGGTGAGGTGGGGATGTGGGGATGGAAACGGCACAAGCTGTTCAACTCTGCCCTCAGTCATCACTGAGATCCTACTGTAGCTGTCACGTGCCCACTGTGACCTGAAGCATCACCTACCCCTGCGAGGTGCTCTGCCAAAACCAGGCATTTATGGATTCCTTTCTGCTAGGCAAAGTGGGATTCTCTTCCCATTAGTCCACAAAGTTCTGCTGAGAGTGTGGTGCTACAAAAAATACACTGGAGAAAGCACTTTATGTAGAAAACTACCAAACACCTCATACGCAGGAAATCCCTCTTGCCATCAGTACCACAAGTCACACTGGAAGCCACAACCAGGTGATCAAAAAAATTTATTGCAGGGAGGAATTTCAGCATGAACTGAAAAAGGCCCCTTGTGACTATGTATTTCATGCAACCAAATTCTGTTATTTTTCCCGGGTTACCTTTTCTGGATGTTCTTCTCTCTGACAAGTGCTCTGAGAGAACTTGCTATGGAGTTTTGGAAGAATTCTGTTTCATGCAAAACATTTGGTCAGGGGGCTACATAACACATCAATTAAATTAATTTTTTTATCACTTTCTTACCTGGCTGTTAACATCGGCAGCGTGCTGTAGCAGTACTGAAACCAGCTCCTTGTGTCCTCTGTCACAAGCCCAGTGGAGCAGAGCCCGGCCCTGCAACATCCAGGAGAAAATTAACAAAGCCAGCAATAAAAAAAAAAAAAAAAAAAAAAAAAGAAAAGCACAGAGAATCACAGTCTTACTGTGAAGTATGAGTACCAATAATAAAATTAACACAGACTTTTTAAAAAACGTACACTAATATGAGTATATAACATACTATTGCTCCTGTTTGGGACTTCAGAATAATGCTAGAGAAGTTAACAGTGACACGCAGTTCAATTTTTTATTAGTTTAGAATCAACGCCACAAGCCAGCAAAAATTTAGAGGGGAAAAGCAGCAAAGCTTGAAAAACAGGAGCCATGACATGATTTGTTTTCCTATATAGATGTGGGATTTTGACACCTCTGACTTTTCTGGGAGCAATGACTTAGACAGTAAGGGTACAATTTTCAGTGCTGCTTAAGTCACTTGGACACCAAGTCCCCAAAAGCTCATTCCTCTGGCGGGTCTGAAACACTCAACCCACAGGCCCTGCCTCTGCTGCAGCAGAAGATTAAAACTGGGCATTGGGGCAGGCATCACCCACAACTGTCCCCCTTTCAGCTCTGCAACATGGGCTGCTGCTTCCATGCCTTCAGCGCCTCCCAAACCTCCACAGTTTTCTTCCCTTTCCACAAGTCTCTGCAAACCTGAAGTCTCTCTGCATGTCTCTGCCACCACGCGGGGAGATGCAATGGAAATTCAGATCTTCCTGCCTGTCAAGGACATGGGAAGTAGCTTAGGACCTCTCTGAGGGCTGGCACGCACATCTGAGTCATAGAATCATAGAATGTTTTGGGTTGGAAGGGACCCCTAGAGGTCCTCTAGTCCAACCCCCCTGCAGGAGCAGGGACACCGCTAACTAGATCAGGTTGCTCAGAGCCCCATCCAACCTGGCCTTGAATGTTTCCAGGGATGGGGCCTCCACTACCTCTCTGGGCAACCTGTTCCAGTGTTTCACCACCCTCATTGTAAAGAATTTCTTCCTTATATCTAGTCTAAACCTACCCTGGTTTAGTTTAAAACCATTACCCCTTGTCCTGTCACAGCTGGCCCTACTAAAAAGATTTTCCCCATCTTTCCTATAGGCCCCCTTTAGGTA